CCAGCACCTCATTTTACCGATCCCCCTCCTCACCCCGCTCTTGCCTTTCTTCCGTGACTCCCCAACCCTCTTTATCTGCAACACCCACAGCCCCTGGTCTTCACTTTCGTCCATGACACCACAACCACCAATCACCAATCCACCCCCGATCCCCGCCTCTAAGTCTTTATTTTTGTCCGCGGCACCTCTCCCTCCTCTAGTAACATGCCAGACCTGTTACCCCAATCTGTTCCAGGACCTCGCTTTTTACAAATTAAGCACTGCCAATCTGCCAATAGCAGGGATGTCTAGACTCCTAGAGGGCCGATGTCCAGCAAAGTTTAGTTCCAACCCCAATCAGACACAGCTGGCCTAGCTAATCAAGCTCTTACTACACCTCATTTTACCGATCCCCCTCCTCACCCTGCTCTTGCCTTTCTTTCGCGACTCCCCAACCCTCTTTGTCCGTGACACCCACAGCCCCCGGTCTTCACTTTCGTCCACGACAGCACAACCACCAACAAACAACCCACCCCTGGTCCCCGCCTCAAGTCTTCACTTTTGTCTGCGGCACCTCTCCCTCCTCTAGTAACATGCCAGATCAGTTACCCCAATCTGTTCTGGGACCTCACTTTTTGCAAATAAAGCACTGCCAATCTGCCTATACCAGGGATGTCTAGACTCCTAAAGGGCCGGTGTCCAGCAAAGTTTAGTTCCAATCAGACACAGCTGGCCTAGCTAATCAAGCTCTTACTAGGCTTTCTAGAATCATCCTTGCAGGTGTGTTGAAGCAAGTTGGAGCTAAAATCTGCAGGACACCGGCCCTCCAGGACCGAGTTTGGACACCCCTGGCCTATACCAACCCCTTTACCCTGAAAAACTGTTTCTTGTGTCTTGGAGGTCAAAACTGAGATTGAATGGAGTATAATTGAAGACCAGATGATCTCAGCACAGTCCTCAACTTTATCTCCTTCTAATTTATGTCAGCAGTTGTTTTGTGCCTGTTTGACAAATCTGAGGGAACTTATTTAAATGAAAGATGATGCAGAAATCAGAAATCCATCAACTTTTCTGAGCTATGAAAGAACAATCAAATCTTGCTCGGAGATTTGCTTTGGGATTGGGTTTAGGAGCACTATAGGAGCACAGACCATCTCAATGCATCTGCCTGCAGGTGCTTGAAAGGAATCATATAATATTTAACTTCTAATCTAGGAAGATAAATGACAGCATTTACTGATAGCGCTAGACCTGAAAGGACATTTCAGCAGCTCTAACTCAATAGTGAGCTCATGGACACAAAGGAAATGGGACGTGGACATATAGATCAGTGACAGAGACTTCGCTTAAGAATCGCACATATATCTTCAAGGATCCAATTACCCTGACATGTGTGTTCGTAATGCAGGACAGAAGGTCAAGACACACTGGCCTGCGTCCATTAATTCTGTTATGGCCGTCAGTGTGGAAAGAAGCCTCGAAGAGAACCTAGTCGTCTGTCTCAATTAGGGCAAATGACAAATGCTAAATTCAGATGCTAATTTGTTGGGGTGTTGGATTTTGAGGTTAAGTAAGTGTAGAGGTGAGGTTAATGAGTAGCGCTTGCTAGGGCAAAGACTTTTACTATTGCTCATGCGGACATGCACTGTCTCTCAAGCCTGGTGGTTGTTCAGGAGATGTGCGCTATTACTCTGCTAAGGCAGCAATCAGAATTATGGTGAAAAGACTTACAATGAACCTAAATCCAGTCTGATCTCTAGGGTTGCATTGAACTCTACAGGCCAGAATATCAGAGAGAATTTCAGCCTCTCAACTTTGATATTAAATATATGCCAGATCTAAGGGGTTTGACTAATCACAAGTGAAATTTCTGTAATTTCTTGCCATAATGGGGCAAAATTGAGATATTTCCAAGGGCCCTGATAGTAGAGCCTAATGCTAGATTTCTACTCAAAGGGAGGCCTCATATCCCTATGCAATCCCTCCCACAATCCCCATTACACTGATAAATTTTTTTACTATTGCTCCCAGGCACATCAATGAAACCTTAAGGCATGCAGCTTGTTTAGAAAGGGTGCACTTTTTCCCTTACTAGCAATCAGACTTGTAGTGAAAAAACATTGTGAACCCGAGTCAGGTCTTGGTTTCTACCGGGTTCAATGCTGAATTCAAAATATAACCAAGACTTTCAGCATTACATCCCTAGCAAACGCCCAAAACACTATAGAAACCTATTAAAAACATCCTATCAACCACCCCACCTCAAGCATGCCCCGGAGCACCATAAAAACCCACTAGTGCAATCTAGCATTCACTCAGAAACCCCTCTAAAACTCCCCAATGACCTCGAACATTCTTTAAAATGTCCTGAAACACCTTAATGAAGATGTTTACAGGCGTAATCTTATTCACTGGCCCCATAATGCTTGGTATTAAGATGCATATTTGTCAAGCTGATCACAAGTGAACAAAGTCTCCATTTCCATGCACTGTAAAAAAATTGAAGCTAAAATATCCCACATGTGAACGCTGTTATTTTGCACCAACTTTGTAATTTGGAACCTGAGCCTGTGACTTTGTGATTGTGAGTTTTATAAAGCCTAAACTCCAACATAGCCAATCACAAGCATCCAAATGTGAAGCCACACCTCTTTTAAAGCATTACGTAATTGATAGAGCTGTGGCAAAAAAAAAAATATATTCAAGAAATTGATTCTGCACAGATTCTGAGATTTTCAAAAATCTATTCTCTCTTGAATCGACTGTTAGTTTTTTAACAGTCCTCTAGACTAGTTTTTAACAGCAGATATGGCTCTAGACTAATTTTAAATAGCAGATGGTGCTCTAGACTCGTTTTTAACAGTACATGGCGCTCTAGATGGCGAGCTAGACTAGTTTTTATCAGCAGATGGCACTCTAGATTAGTTTTTAACAGCAGATGTCACTCTAGACTAGTTTTTAACAGCAGATGGCAACCTAGACTAGGTTTTAGCAGCAGAGAGTGCTCTAAACTAGTTTCTAACAGCAGATAGCACTTTTGACAACAATCTAGACTATTTTTTTAAAGCAGATTTCGCTCTAGACTAGTTTTTAACAGCAGATGGTGCTCTAGACTAGTTTTTAATAGCAGATGGTGCTCTAGACTAGTTTATAACAGCAGATTTCGCTCTAGACTAGTTTTTAACAGCAGATGGTGCTCTAGACTAGTTTTTAACAGCAGATAATGCTCTAGACGGCATTAAACACTAGTTTTTAACTAGCAGATGCCACTCAAGACGGCGCTCTAGACTAGTTTTTTACAGCAGATGGTGCTCTAAACTAGTTTTTAACAGGAGATAGCACTCTAGACTAGTTTTTAACAGCAGATAGCGCTCTAAACTACTTTCTCACAGCATATGGCGCATTTGACAACAATCTAGATTATTTTTTAAAAGCAGAATTCGCTCTAGACTAGTTTATTACAGCAGATGGCGCTCTAGACTGGTTTTTAACAGCAGATGGTGCTCTAGACTAGTTTTTAACAGCAGATGGCACTCTAAACTAGTTTATAAAAGCAGATGGCGGTCTAGACTAGTTTTAAAAAGCAGATGGCTCCCTCGACCAGTTTTTAACAGCAGATAGAGCTCTAGACTAGTTTTTAACAGCAGACGATGCTCTAGACTAGTTTTTAACAGCAGATAGCACTCAAGACGGCACATTAGACTAGTTTTTAACAGCAGATAGCACTCAAGACGGCACTTTAGACTAGTTTTTAACAGCAGATAGTGCTCTACACTAGTTTTTAACAGCAGATGGTGCTCTACACTAGTTTTTAACAGCAGATGGTGCTCTACACTAGTTTTTAACAGCAGATGGTGCTCTACACTAGTTTTTAACAGCAAATAGTGTTCTACAC